TGTGTGTGATTACATTTTAGGATGGTAGGGGGAAGTTGGGTAGCCCTGGGGCGTGTATCGATTCCACCCTCCTGATGTACCCAGCTGCTGCATGGGGCTGCGTGGGCAATCTGAAGGGGCTGCATGCAAACCACCCCGAGGAAGTGCGCCGCTCCCTCCTCGTCCCGGACTAGCTTGGGTTGGCAACCACCGTAGTGTCCATAGCAACCGCAGGCCTGACACTGCGACTCGCGCAGGGCACCCGTCTGTGTTAGCCAGTGGACCTTCACTGTCACATCCACGACACAGTCGTCGGCGGGCATGTCTTGGGTACATGCTGCTTCCACAGCGCCCAGGAAGCACTAACGGCGTGGAAAAACGTGCCACCTTCACGTTGTTGGCCGCCTCTTACCCTTCTCGTACTGTGAGATAGCTCTCACAGCAGGTGGCCCATAAGGCAGGGTGCCAGACTTGGTGGCCCCGCATGACCGACAGTCACTACCAACTCGAGTGTAAAGAATCACAGGGGCTGAGTCAGTTTAACACCAACTCTTCTTGCCTGACACCTGTCAAGATCCCATGCTTGATCCAGGCTTCTCACATTCCTCGGCTAGCTGTGCCCTGCAGACGTCGATCTCCCTCCGACAAACCTCTTCAAACGTACAAAAAGTCAGTCAAAGGATTCATTCTCCAATTATTTGCAGCTGGTGAAGGCAGCGGCGACGCAAGGCCTCATATTCCGACCTAACGTGCTCCTTTAAAAGGTCGGCACATCCACACTGAAGATGTAGAATCGGGAGGTACTTGCAACGCAGCTCCAAAACTTCCTCTGGGTCCCCAGCGACAAACCATCCGCAATTGGTGAGCTGTTTGTTTGGAGGCATGTCAAGGTCCACCATCGTGGAGGTCTGTCTGAATCGCCGCCTCCACTCACGAAAAGCTGAAACGTGACGCCTGGGTGAGAGGGCGTGGTGGGGGCTGAAATACCACAGATTTGGGGATTGGAGGAGTGCCTGAGGACGCTGGTGTGGTGGGAGGAGGGAGGGTACTGGCGCCTTGGTGCGTGATACCCGCGAGTGAGGGAGGTGTCAGCGCCAGGTCGCCATTATGCATCAAAACGCCGACTTTTTCCTCCTTTCTTCGTGTCTCCTCCTGAAATTCCATCTCTGGGCGTATCTCGTCCCCGGTAGTCCATACACCCTCTGTGAATTGTGGCAATGTCCGGCCGCTGGAGGTGGAGGATGAGAGCTCGCGCCCAGTGGAGGGGATGGTGGTGGGGAGTCGGTTCATCTTGACGTTGTCCCTTCTTACCGCCCATCTTAGTATGCTTGAACTGCGCTGTTTAGTACATAAAGTGGCGCCATCAGCTTCAGCTGGAATTCATATATAGTGATATAAATAGCGAGAAATAACGATAGAGTCCACTGTTCTGTCCGTGAGTAAGTGCAAGGCAAGCGTGTGTGTGTGTGTGTGTTTGAGATAGCGAGCGGTGGCTTAGGTTGGAGCTGCCGCGAGCATGCGAACGCCAAATTCTCGATGTCACGCTTAGAAGGGTGTACGCCATGTCTGCAGTACCACAAAAATACAGGCCAATGCTCAACTACCTCTGTCAAAAAGATTTCTTTCCTTTTCTCTTCAAGGGCCTTCTTCTGAGCATCACCACCGTCGTCCATTAATTCATTTGCCAGAAAGAAGAAGTCCATTCTCTCACAGTATGATGTGAAATCTTCCTTGTCTGCATCAGACTCCCCCACTCGTCCGATGTATCCACTGACGCCAGCCATGGTTGCTCTCTTCACTTAAATTCTCCAGGTTCAGAGTAGCCTTCCCTTCAGTGGTCACTATCCTTTCTTCAAGGACTTCACAAACACTTTGTGAATCCCATCCTCATTGCCAGTGTAGTATCTTGCATTATTTAATGGGAGAATGACAAGTCACATGGTCGGTCTCCTACAGCGCTTTTTTCTCTGTTGTTCGTACAACGTGCCTAACACATTTCGTGTTTACACAAGCCTTAACACTTTCTGACTTTGGTAAGAAGTAACATAATATATAATGTATATATAATCAATAAAGGTAGCATATAAACACAAACATATATAACAATGCTCCTGCTGTGAGCTTCAGTACAACGATATTCGTGCGCAGGACGAAATAGTCCCGTATTCATCCGCGTTAGTTGTAGGAGTTTCGTTCATTATAGCATTCTCAATTTTATAGGTAAAACAGTTCGTTATAGGAATATTCGTAGAATCCGTTCGTTATAGCATACGGTACTGTATAGTGATTTAAGGCCGATTTAGGGGAATTTTAGGAGTGTTTCTGACTTTATGCATTTTGGCCTTTACTTTGTATGTACTTTTCTGTGAGCTGGAACCAATTACCCAATATCCCATTGAAATAATAGATTCGGTTAACGAACGACTCTGTGGAACGAATTGTGTTCGTTAACCAAGGGACCACTGTATTACAATCAGTCTTCCAGCAAAGCACCTGATAATTATATAAGTACATATACACCTTAATGTTACCTGGTTGGGTTGTGTTAGGCTATGGTGAGTACCACACAGTGAGACACTAGTCACACCGTGTATTCAGTGTAGTGTGGCTGATGTTATAACACATCTTTCCGTCGGGAGTCTTGGATTTTGTCAGGCCAAAGAAGAGAGCTTCACGATGATTCTTCAGTACGAACAGTTTCTCTAAAAGTTTATTGTTGATGCCCTTTACGGTCCATGCAAACTGGGGGGCCAAACCTGTTGAAAGAATAAAATAAATTATTCTTATAGTATAAGATCTTCTGGCTATATACTGCAGTGGGACCAGAATTCACACAAGCACGCACGCACGCACGCAAGCAAGCAAGCACACGCACGCAAGCAAGCAAGCACACACGCGCGTGCACGCAAGCACACGCGCACACACGCACACACACACACACACCGAGATCCTCTACCTAGGGGATTTCAATGTGCATCACAGAGAGTGGCTTGGCTCTGCAAGGGATGACCCAGGTGGAGCTGAGGCACTCTCTTTTTCCCTACTTAATGATTTGGAACAAATAATCAAACACCTTACATGCGTTCCTGATCGACACGATCAACTTGCTAACATTCTTGATCTTTGTTTTACCTCTAACCCCTCACACTATTCATACACAATTTTTGCCCCCTTAGGGTCTTCTGATCACAACCTTATTTCTATTAAATCAAACTGGGCACGACCACCTCCCCCACCCCCCTCTAAACATCAACTATGGCACTATCGGAGGGCAAGCTGGCAATCCTTGCGAGAATTCTTCACCGACTTTCCTTGGGATGAATGTTGCTTTTCCACTCGGGACGCCTCGGTACGTGCTCACAGCATTGCTGGGGTTATACAGGGCGGTATGAGTGCATTTATCCCATCTTCTACCAAAACTTTCACATTACAATCATGGTTTGATTGCTCCTGCCCTCTTGCTTGCAGGGTGAGAGATAGGGCATATCGAGCTATGAAATTATCTCCTTCTCCTATTACCCACACCTCTTTCATTACTTCTAGGAATCGTTGTAAGGTTATTCTTCGTAGGGCCAAGCGGAATTATATAAAAAGAAAGACCGCTGTCCTGACTAATTCTTCCTCTAGTAAATCCTTTTGGTCCTTAACTAAAAACATATGTCACAACATCTGTACTCCTTCTTTTCCTCCTCTCTTCCGACCCGATAACTTGTTAGCCAACTCTCCCCCTGACAAAGCCAACCTCTTTGGCACCTTATTCTCCTCTAATTCCACCTTAGACGATTCCCACTCTACCCCTCCTACCCCTGCACCTCCTACTGAACCTATGCACTTTCCTATAATCTCCACTCGCAGGGTTGCCGGTGTGTTATCCAGGTTGGATGTGAGTAAGGCGCATGGACCAGATGGAATACCCCCTCGTGTTCTGAAGGAGTGTGCTGAAGCCCTGGCCCCTGTGCTTGCTCGCCTCTTTTGCCTCTGCCTGAAAACCCAAACTTTTCCTTCTTCTTGGAAGCATGCCTTGGTTCAGCCCATCCCGAAGAAGGGTGACCATTCTAATCCCTCTATCGCCCCATTGCCCTAACTTCATCCCTCTCTAAGATTTTCGAAACTACCTTAAACTCCCATTTTCTCCGTCACCTTGAACGCCTTTCTCTTTTGTCGGATCACCACTATGGCTTTCGCCAGGCGAGATCTACTGGTGATCTGCTCTCCTATTGCACCCATCTTTGGTCATTCTCTCTTAAGGATTATGGGGAAACTTTTGTCATAGCCCTCTACATCTCCAAAGTATTGGACAGGGTATGGCACAAGTCTATGCTTTCTAAACTTCCCTCTCATGGTTTCTCTCCCCCCACTTTGTTTTCTCATCTCTCGCTTCCTTGAGAACCGATCCATGGCAGTTGTTGTCGAGGGATCGATCTCTCGCTCTTTCTCTACCGGAAGTGGTGTCCCACAGGGTTCTGTTCTTTCACCTACTCTCTTCCTTCTTTTTATCAATGATTTACTTCACACTACAACTAATTCTATCCATTCTTACACTGATGAGTCTACTCTTCACTCTTCTTCACATTTTCCCCTTCCTCCTAACTCTCAAACAAGATCTGTTTCTAGAGCTGATATCATTACTTCTATCAATGCGGATCTGTGCAGCATCTCTGAATGGGGATGTACAAACTTGGTTAAGTTCAATAGTAATAAAACTCAATATTTACCAATTACACTTTGTAAATTAGACCATCTCCCACCAACTACATTTCAGGAAACTATCATCCTGCCAAATTCTGAAATAAATATGTTAGGCCTCACCATTTCCTCCAATATACCGTAGCTACTTCACTCCTGAGCAGATGCTCCAAGTATATATGGGATTCATTCGTCCTAACTTGGAGTACTGCTCTCATATCTGGGGTGGTTCTTCTGTCCAACTATTAGATAAGGTGAAATCAAAGGCATTTCGTCTCCTCCTTTAGTCGACACTCTCTCTTCCCTTTCTCTTTGCCGCAATGTTGCTTCACTCTCTCTCTTTTACAGGTACTTTAAAGGGCAACATTCAGTGGATTTGGCATCCTGTGTACCACTGGCAAGGCCGTGGGCTCATAACACACGTCTTGCTCACGGTGCCCACCTATTCTCTGTGGATGTCGGTCACACGAGAATAACCCATTATAGTACCTCCTTTCCTCACACAGCCAAACTGTGGAATGCTCTGCCTTCTTTTGTGTTTCCATTCTTATACAATCTGTCTCACTTTAAAAAGCTGGTTTTCCAGCATCTTTGTGGCATAGATTAACACAATATAATCTTTTTGTTCTCTAATTTTATTTTCTTTCTTTTTTTTTTTTGGCCCCGGTTGGTGAATTCCATAAAAACAACACACACACACTTCATCATAACCACCGAATGGTCAAAATACCTGGCGCTGCTCTGTAGCAGCCATCAACTGTTATGTTGGCCATACCAACTCCTCCCACTGAACCCTCCTCCCCACAGATATCAGCAAGTTCTAGCCAAAGTTACTACAGTCAACCCCTCACTTTAGCAGTTAATTCAACCCACGTATGGCGGAAAGTGAGAAACGCGTAAAGTGAACAACATAACATATGGGGATTAATTGAAATAGAGACGGGCCCGACCAAACTCACACGACTCACACAACTATGTTGTAGTAAAATTTATCTTAACTTTATGATGGTATGCACACAATTAATAATTAAAGAGAAATATCAATAATATTAGGTTTTTTCAATTACGTTTGTAGAAAGATGGCTGGGCACAAGGGATGGGGTTGGTTCGAGGCAGAGGGCAGATTATTGGCCCTCACCTGTATAAAGCTGTCATTATCCACAGGAGGCATGAGGCTCTTTGTCAACCTCAAGTCCATATAAATTCCATATCCTCACTATAATTATCTATATCACTGACTTGGGCGGCTGTGGTGGCTGGGGGTGAAGAACTGGGTAATGTTTTCGGATTTTGGCGGCCATTGCACTGCTCATGGCACCTAGCATAAGCGGAGAGTGGAGGAGGCGGAGATGGCGGGTTGGATCCAAAAATGGCGGCTCGCCAGCCCGCTCTCGGTAGGATACGCACGCGAAATGTGAGCATCGGGTTCGGCGGTACGCGCAGCAATGTGGAAAGCAGAATGGTACGGCGTAAAGTGAGGTTGACTGTATTTCATTTAGAAAGAATGGAACCAGTGTTGAATAGTGGTGAACAGTTCTTAAATCAGTAACAACTTCCGGCAGTAGCAGCTGAGTCTGCAAAGCAAACCTACACAGTGAGGTCCAGGTAACCAGTGATAATTGCCCCGAGATTCCAGCACCAGCTATGTGTTAATCCGTCCACAATAGAGGCCTGGGACCACACCTCCACTCGAGTGGAGAGTTCCCAGTATCAGACCACGTGGTCATGGCGATACTCGACTGCGGTAGCTAACACAGCATCATGTGAGGTTCCTCAACACCATCCGTGAGGGAATTACTACACCATGTGATGCCTCATTACACCATCAGTGAGCAATTATTACACCCATTAGGGCCCCTCATACACAATCTGTGAGGAATTACTACACCACATCAGGCCCTCATAACACCATCTCGTGAGGGAATTGCTACATCAGGCCCTCATACACCATCTGTGAGGAATTACTACATCAATAGGCACCTCATACACCATCTGTGAGGAATTACTACATCATCAGGCCCCTCATACACCATCTGTGAGGAATTACTACTCCACGCGATGTCCTCATAATGCCATCTGTGAGGGAATTACTTACTCACGCGATGCCCCTCATAACACCATCTGTGAGGGAGTTATTACATCATCAGGCCCTCATACACCATCTGTGAGGGAATTACTACATCATCAGGCCCTCATACACCATCTGTGAGGGAATTACTACTCCACGTGGATGCCCCTCATAATGCCATCTGTGAGGGAGTTGCACTACGTGTCTGCTGTTCAACACCTCAGCTAACATGGTTCTAGTGATCTCTCTCTCTCTCTCTCTTACCTTCTTCTAAGGCAGTTGTGCATGAATGTATTTGAGCAACAAATCCCAACTACCATAACAAAAACCCTAAGAGCGAGAGTATGAAAATAATAATAATAATAATAAATGTTCTCACACTTACCAAAGAATTTCCTGAAGTTATGACAACTGAGATTAACAAGACATTTCTTGTCTGTCCATATGTCGTCAGTTCAAACTGATGTTGATAAAGGCATCACGGTCCGGTTGTGAGCCCTGCTTGAAGTCTGGGGTTGTCCACTATGTGCGTATACTGCGCTGTTGAGGTGGAGAGATATATAATGCCCATGAGAGTACACTGAGGATGGTGGATGACTGGCAGTACTGTGAGAAGGGCATGGGAAGGCAGGCTGTTTTCCTGGGGCCAGCACCTACTAGGGGTCCAGACTAAGCTCTTTATATTAAAAATCTGAAAAACCAGTAATACAATGTCATACTATGGAATAAATTATGTTTGTCTTTACCTTTACTCTAAATGTTCTCTTGTTCTAACTGGGTTGTGTTTGTTCTGTTGCAGATGTATAAGGTTTATGAGTTGAATAAAGCCTTGATCACTGAAGGTGTTTGATATCATACGACAATTTATTCAACTTGTATTTTACAAGCAACATGGAGCGTATACTCTGCCCCGACAAGCTTGATGTTGATCCAAATCCCCAGCTGCTGAGAAGGAATACAGCATTGGTAAACTTTGAGTGTGAGACAGAGCGTCTGACAAACTTCGATGTTTGACAAAATATGTGTCTGCTACTGTGTATGAATACTTTGCTGATGCTAAGGAGTTTAAAACAGCTATACAAGTGTTGGAAAAGGTATGTGAAAAAAGAAAATGAATATTCGCCAGACACCAGCTCACCACAAGACGTCAGCGTCCTTGAAACACTGGATGAATTTCCTGCGACTTGCACAGAGTCAGCAAAGATTGTACTCTAAAAGCTGTCACGGCCAAAGAATATCGTGAAGAGTTAGTGCGGGATGCCTTCATCAACGGACTGTCTCAGCAAATACAGGTCCTCGGTTGCCGAACACAATTGTTCAAGAAGGTTGTTCGTTAACGAATCCATTGTTTCAATGGATATTGGGTAGTGGTTCCAGCTCACCGAAAATACATATAAAGTAAAAAATGGTAATTTTACTTACTTTCAGGTGTGCATGTAGAAGGCTCTGGTTGATGATGATGATGATGGGAATTAGAAGTAGGGTGAGGAGAAGGGAGAAGAGAAGAAGTGGGGCTGGAAGAGAAATCACCCCATGCTTCATGCCGTTATTTCACCCATAAATTTTTAGTTCACTTGGTGTAATTCAAGATTATTTTCTTTAAATCAACACTGCACAGCACTATATATTGTCAATATGTTAACTAAAGTTCAGAATGACCAATAATTTCAATGAAAAATAAAATATTCAAGACACCAACAAAATAGGTGCTCTCTCCGAAAACGAAGCCAGACTGACGCCTGGTGGCTGACATTTACACCAATCGCTATTTAATCCATTGCCAAACATTGAAACCATGGTCAACACTCTTGCTAAGTACCACGTGTTCTCAACATTTGATCTACAGAGCGCATGCCATCAACTAAGCATGATTGAAGTCTGATAAACCCTTTACAGCATTTGAAGCAAATGGCAGACTATCAATTCACACGTGTTCATTTGGTGTCACGACCGATATCTCGACCTATAAGTCGAAGTTGAACCTTACAAAAATCAGCCCAAAATTAGGGGTCGTCTTAAATACCGGTATAAAATTCTTACTATTACATATTGTGGTTTAGCGTGTCAAGATGGTGATGGAGAACATCATAAACCACTCACGGTTCTACCACTAATTATTTTATACTGAAACTTACGTTTGGGAAGCTGGATTAAATAAGATTACCGGTATATTAAAATAATATAAATTTATTATAAACCTGTCTAACATACAATAAAATAACAATATACCCTGTAATAAACACTGCTATCATCACGCACTGCCCCGCCATTTGCCAGTGACGTAGACAAAAAGGGAAAGTGGCCGCTGTAAGAGGGGAGATAGGGCTATTTTTAGCCTGTCTTTGTGTCTGAGGTGGAATAATGCATACTGGAATATTTACTGATGATAATACTTATCTCCTATAAATAATTCATTTAAAATTTATTATTTTACAAAGAATATTAAGTACATGACTGCAATAATTTTGAAACTACCGACAGTGGTAAATTTAGGATGAGAATGAAGAAGCCGAGTCACAGTCATCTGATTCGGAGTTTGATCCTATGATGATGCAACCATAAATATATCAGGTAAACTTCACCTACACGTATGGCCTCCTTTGTCACGAAGCAAGTTTATAAATTAAAGAAAATACTTGCAGTGTGTTTAATATATTACAGTATATTATAAATAAATAAATATACAAATAATCGGTAAATCCATTTCAAGTAAATGGAAAAATTTTACTCGACACCGATATTAGTTCAGTTAAATAACAGGCGCTATGACGTCACTAGTGTTTGCACTACACCAACCGGTAACATTTAATGCCATTACTCGAGGTGAATTGGCCTTATTTTAAATAACCAAGGATGTAAACAGCACTGGTCAATGGGATGGTTGGTAAAGGACTACTGGGTCAGTAAGCTCCCAATGGTAAGTGTCACATTTGGGGTGCGGTCTTTTAAAGAATAGAGCTCAAAAGCTACTTTTTAAATGGAAATTTTTGGGGTGGTCTTATACACTTGTCGCTTTAGGCATAAGATATAATGGATAGTTGCTGTTTTTCAAAGAGCCATAGACAAGTTCAGGATATGGAGAATCTATGTGACATTTTCCCTACCTTGACAATATTATTTTACTGCTGCTGAGAAAAGAAGCTAACATTCAATACATCCAAATCTACAATATCACAACATCTATCAATCTTCTGGGTTATCAACTTGGAAATGGTCAAATCAAACCAGATACTGAAGGCTAAACCACTACAGAACTTCCACCACCTACAAACCGATCGGCTCTTCAATGTGTGCTTGGTATGTTTGTATATTACGCTAAGTGGATCCCGGAGTTTTCAGACAAGGCACGGCCTCTCTACAAGGCTAAATCTTTTCCTCTGGTCCGTGAAGTGCTCACAGCTTTGATGACTTGAAGAAACTGCTTGGAAGCTGCCTAATGCATTGACCATGCCATCCCATTTGTTGTGAAGTGTGATGCATCGGATGTGGCCGTGTTTGCTACTTTGAATCAAGCTGGTCGGCCAGTAGCCTTCATGTCTCGGATGTTATCTGGCAGTGAGATTCACTATCTTCCTGTTGAGAAGGAGGCGACTGCAATAATTGAAGAGGTAGTGGTCTCACCTGTTGTTGGGACCATACTTCACCGTTGTTACTGACCAGCGATCAGTTGCATTTATGGGACAGTAGTAGAATGACAAAAGAAACAAGGGTGGCGGTTCGAACTTCCTGGTTTTAGCTATTCCATTTGGTATCGGCCAGGTAGAGACAACGTTGTCCTTGACACTTTCACCCGAGAGTTCTGTGGAGCCATCTCATCGTCAAACCTAACTGTCATCCATGAAGGGCTCTGCACCCGGGTTGTCAGAATGCTTCATTTTGTCCAGACAAAGAACCTCCCCCTTCTACGGAGGATGTGAAAAGGTCTGTTCAACTTGTCGTGTATGTGCTGTAATCAAGCCAACATTTCACAGGCCTACTGAAAATACCATTATCAAAGCTACTCAACCAATGGATAGACTGAGCATTGACTTCAAAGGTCCTCTTCCATCACACACGAGAAACTCATATCTCTACACTGCTGTGGATGAATATTCCAGATTTCCTTTTGCTATTCCATGTGCTGACATGACATCTTCAACTGTCATCAGATGTCTGGACACCATCTTCGCTTTTGTGGTATGGAGAGATTTGTCCCTCTGATCAAGGAAGTTCATTTATGTCTCGGAAGTGAAAACTCATCTCGCTTAGTCGTGAGTGGCGTCCAGCAAAACTCCACCTTACCACCCAACAGAAACAGTCAAATAGAACGGTACAAAATGGCATAATCTGGAAGTCCATATGTTTAGCTGCCAAATCTCGAGATGTTCGATACTGAATGGGAGCTCTCTACCTGGCTCTTCACCCATTAGATCATTGCTCTCAACAGCCATCAACGTGACTCCACATGAGAGGTTTTTCAATTTTCTCAGATGATCTTGTCAGGGTACATCCCTGCCAACATGGCTTACGACTCCAGGTCCTGTCTTCTTACACCGATTCGTCCGCTCAAGCAAAGGTGACCCTCTCGATGAGGTGGAGCTCCTGAGGCTAACCCAACGTATGCACACATCAAGTATCCAGATGGACGTGAATCTTCAGTTTCCTCCGTGATCTTGCTCCATGCCCTTGGTGGAACTCATCCTCGACAACTCTGCGGATCAACCTCACCTTCAGTGGAGCCAGAAATGTTGGATAATGGTGAGGAGTTGCTGCAGAGGGAGATACAGGGACGACATTGCTGAATCCTAGTACAGTATCATGCAGGAGTTACCGCTTCGTCGTTCTACTGGGCAGCGAAGAGAACCCTAGCGATACGGGCATGATGTTTGACTGATTATGTTGGCAGGGTGAATGTCATACTATGGAATAAATTATGTTTGTCTTTACCTTTACTCTAAATGTTCTCTTGTTCTAACTGGGTTGTGTTTTGTTCTGTTGCAGATGTATATGGATTTTATGGTTGAATAAAGCCTTGATTACTGAAGGTGTTTGATATCATACGACATACGGCATCCATAAAATTCTGTAAACTTAAATAAACTGATAATAACATGTAAAAATCCATAATAAATCTCTATGAATTTGGTAATGGTTAACTTGGAGAGTTGGCATCCCTACATTGGTGAGCACCGTGATCTTGGTGGAGGAGTTTGGTAATTTAAGAAATAACTGAATCTTATCAGAATGTATATCTGTTGCATAAAACAATGGTATCACAGCCTCAATGCCAGAAAAAACACAAAAGGTTAGAAGAGGTTCAAGAAGAAAACTGCGAGAAATAGCAGATACAAGTTCAGAAAATCAATTTAAAAATAATGTTTTTATGTTCTTCGGGTTAAATTATTGAAACATGACAAGCAAAATGAGGCAGTATGAGAGTTGGAGTCAAATTTCAGT